TATATGTAATATATATAAGAAAACTTTGGTCTGCAGTTTGCAGCAATTAAATTAAGCTTTAGTTTATTATAAGAAATGTAATATTGACGTACTAGTTTGCATTATATTGCACATCATATAAATTAATAACCTTGTCATATGAATATTGATGCTTATCAATAAGCAATAATGCCAAAAGAAAAGAGATGAAGTTATACTGTTACCTTTAAACTCGAAGTTATTGACTATGCAAAGCAAACTAGCAATCGTGCTTCAGCACGTAAATATGATATTGACTATGCAATGGTTAAACGCTGGTATAAAAAAGAGGAAAAATTTAAAACAGCAAGAGCTCTTAGTCGACAAGTAGGATCAGGTCAAAAAGCAGCATATCCCCTTGCAGAAGATGCATTAAAAGGATGGATTGATGAACTACGCAGTGAAGGAATTGCTGTACTACCTTCTGCCGTGAAGCTTAAAATGCAAAATTTGCTCATGAATAATTTTCTTATACATTATCCAAATGCATTTGAAACATTTAGAGCCTCCAATAACTGGTTTTATAGTTTTATGAATCGGTATGATCTCTCACTTTATTGTCAAACAAAACTTGGACAAAAGTTACCTCAGAATTTACAAGAAAAAGTTTTAAGTTTTCATACTTTTATTAAAAATGCATGTCAAAACAATAATTTCAATCTTGCCTGTATTGGGAATATGGATGAGATGCCGATTTTTTTCGATATGGTTGGTCAACTTACAGTTGATTATCGCTGTGCTAAAACTGTACAAATTAAAACTACTGGTAATGATAAGAACCGATTCACTTGTGTACTTTCAGTGTTGGCTGATGGTACTAAGCTTCCTCCAATGATAATTTTTAAGGGAAAAAGATTACCTAGGGGTCCCTTTCCTCCTGGTATATTTATTTGAATGCAAGAATGGGGATGGATGAATGAAGATTTAATGGAAGATTGGATTGAAAATGTGTGAAAAAAAAGAAGCACAGATGTTAGTCAAAAATCAAGTGTAACTACTAAACAAAAACAAAGTTTACTAACTCTAGATGCTTTTAAGGGACATCTAACTGATAAAGTCCAAAAAAAATGTACTGAACATAATACTATTATGGGTGTTATACCCGAAGGACTTACATCACTTGTTCAACCTTTGGATGTTTGTATTAAAAAGCCTTTTAAAGATCGGCTACGTGAAAAATGGAGGCTTTGGATGGCAAATAGAGAAATTCAACTTACTAAAAAGAAAAATTTTAAAAAACTAGCATATAATTTGATGTGCCAATGGATTATTGATGTTTGGGAAGATATTCCTACTAAACTTGTTAAAAATTCTTTTAAAAAATGTGGAATCTCAAATGAACTTGATGGTAGTAAAAATTATTTAATGTATAAAGAAGGGAATAATACATTGGAGGAATCATTTATCATTTTAACAGATGATTTAGAGGAAAATTAAGAAAATTCTTAATATAGTATTTAAGGCAGAAAATTAAAGCATACTAAAATTCAAATATTCTAGTTATACATATCATAAATCTGTAAGCTAATATATGCATATAAATTAAACTATTGCTATTGCTATTAAAATTATAAATTAAACTGTCATTATTGCTATTAAAATTTTTTGAAGAAATTCTGTGCTTATCATTAACAATTCACAATTATGTTATTTATATATGCATGGTAAATCATTGATACTTTTAAAAAGCAATTAAGTATATGCTAGATGCATACCGGTATGTATATATACACATATATGTACATACGTTGGTACTAGTCAATTTTGAGTTGATCAATTTGTGGGTGCTTATTTACTGATCACAAATTTTATTATAGGGGATGCTAATTCACAATAGGTGCTTATTTTCTGAGTTTTACAGTATTAAAAACCTCCAATTTATTTTTCTAATATCAAACTTTCTGATCAACTAATTACAGAACCAAACCTTATCAAACAGTATATACAATCTCACTTTTGTAACTGAACAGCACATTGACCAATTGATTAACACTTATTTGATGACTTTTGGCATACACAATATCAAAACCAATTATATATTAACACCTAGTGGTACAACTCTTTTGACTTTCCTATTACCGAAGAAGAAGTTTTTCAAACTATATCAAAACTTCCAAATAAAAAAGCCTGTAGTCTTACAGACATTAGCTATAAAATGCTTAAACATACAGGCACTATCTGTATTAAAGCTATCACTGCTTTACTTAATTGCTGTTTTACTTCAAGTCAGATTTCTAAACAATGAAAACATAGAGAATATATCTTATTCCCAAACATAATACATTTAATGATAACTTAAATATTACTTGCCCTATAAGTTTCATTGAACACATTTGAAAAGTGTATACAAAAATTATTACTACTAGGATTAGTACTGTGTTTTCACAGCATCCTATCCTATTATCATACAATTATATAGCTTTACCTAACAACAGCACATCTATACCTATCCATATACTTAACAATCTTATTGAAAATACATCATATAATCAAAAATCAATCTGGCTTATGTCAAAAAATATAAGCAAAGCATATGACTCTGTTAATTTAATTCTACTTCAAAAGTCTCTTTAATGCCTTGCCTTGTCTAACTCTATCACTAATGCCATCATCAATATACTTACTGATCAACACAACTAAGTCATTACAAATCTTAGTCTTATCTCATCATATCTAGTACTTAATAGAATTGATCAGGATGAAACTATTACTTAACTTTTGTAGAGGATTTATTATGACCCACTTATTACCTACATTTATAACAACTTTAAAGGTTATACTATATAAGTTTCCTGGACTACTAACCTTAAACACAAAATATACAACAAATCCAATTTATACTGTTTAGTTCTTGCTTATATAGATGACACTCTATAGGTTGCATTCTCACAACAAGAGCTATTGCAAATCCTATCAATAGCTGAATCTTTCTTTAATATGGCCAATATTCAAATTAACTCTTCCAAGTCCTTATTAACAACTAATAATACCTCAACTAACTATACTTCTATTATATACAATAATTATTCTCTTAACCTACATCTATTAAATAAACTATTTAAATTTCTTAGATGCTGGTTTACACTTAACAACAAACAAATTAAACAAACTAAACTTATTACTATAGAGTCATCAAAATCTCAAGCACTAAACAAATTACTGACATACATGCATGATATATAATTAATACTGTCATTATTCCTACAATTGAGTATCATCTTTACAATGTTGTTCTTAGTCAAAACACA